CCAGCATCAAATATAACATCACCAAAAGCAGCTTCTGATCGCGGCCCTCAAACCTGCTCCTCCCGCCAGCCTTCCCATCTCAGTTAGCAACTCTCCATCTTTCTAGCTGCTTTGGGCTAATCCTTGGAGTTTGTGAAGATTACTTTCTTTCTCAAATCTCACATTCCACCTGTCAGCCCTGCCTTTAAAACCTGGCTGGAATCTGACCTCTTCTCACCACCTGGTTGGGCCTTCAGCCTTCACCTGGATGATCCCAAGTCTCCTAACTGGCCTCCACGTTTCTGAGCTTCCTGCTCTCCCACATCTCCATGGGGGCCATAGTCATACTTCTTTTTGTTCCTCTCCTCAAAACCCTCTGCAATTTATCTCCCTCATAGCTAAGATCTACCAGGCCTTTTGAAATCTGTACTTCTCCCCCTTTCTGCTCTAATCTTTAGTCTTATGGTTCCTCCCAGGTGCCAGGCACAGTCCTGCCTCAGGGCTTTTGCATTCACTATACCCTCTGCCTTGACTGCTTTGTCCCAAGGTCCCAAGATAGCAACATGGCTCCCTCCCTTACCTCCTTCCGATCTTTGCTCAAGTGTCACCTTCTTTCAAGGCCTTTGCTGGCCACCCCATCCAAAACTGTCACACACACACACACCCCAGGTGCCAGGCACAGTCCTGCCTCAGGGCTTTTGCACTCTCTATACCCTCTGCCTGGACTGCTCTGTCCCAAGATAGCAACATGGCTCCCTCCCTGGCCTCGTTCAGATCTTTGCTCATTGTCACCTTCTTTCAAGGCCTTTGCTGGCCACCCCACCCAAAACTGTCACACACACACACACCCTGCATACTGCTTTTCCTGATTTTAAACTGTCTGCCCCGACAAGAACACGTTCTTTGAGGACAGGGATTTCTGTGTTTCCTTCACGATTTGTTGCGCCCTCTAGAACAGTGCGTGGAATGGTGTATATGCTCAATCCAGGTTGTTGACGTTCAGGAGCTGAAGATTAGAGCCTCAGGGTTAGGGCCAAAGCAGAAGGGCCTTATGAAGCATATACACTTGCATGGTGGTGAAGAGGGGAAGGAAGGAGCCACAGAAGGGGAGCAAAGACTACAAAGATTTAATTTAAAATCACAGTGTCTCAGCCAGGATACCCGCCACTAGGGGTACACCCAAGTCCAAAGGTCCTCAAGGGGCTCCTCCAGGCTCAGCAGCAAGGAGCCGACAGTGCAGCAGCTGTAGCTTCTGGCCCCTCAACTCTCCTCCCAAGGGTGAGGTCCACTCAAGTGCTCACTGGGGCAGGTTCTGCTGCTGTCGCTGCTGCCACAGGCTCCTTCTGCACTAGCTCAGGCTCGTCCTCACCATCCTGAGGTGGGTGCACCAGAACCTTGTCTAAGATGCCAAACTCCTGGGCCTCCATGGGGCTCATGTAGCGGTCTCTCTCCATGGCCGACTCTGGGGGAGGGAGGAAGCGGGAGGCAGGACATGTGTGGTTAAAAGCAGAGACCTGGAGCCCTCGCTGGTGTGGCTCAGCTGGTTGAGCATCGTCCCATGCACCTAAAGGTCGCCAGTTCCCTCTCAGGGCACATGCCTTTCCCACTCTGTGCTTGTTTCCCCATTGCTAAAATACCTATTTCAACTTTTTTTACTTGTTAGTAATGGGTGATAATCTGGGAAGGGGCATGAATCCTAAGTGGATAATGTGATAAATTTCAGACTGAACATACCCACACAGTCAGCACCCAGATCAAGAGATAGGACATTGGCCTGGCCAGGTGGCTCAGTTGGTTGGAGCGTCATCCCGTACACCAAGATTATGGGTTCAATTCCCAGTCAGAGCACTTACCTAGGTTGTGGTCTCGATCCCTCATCGGAGTGCATATGGGAGACAATTGATCGATGTTTCTCTCTCACATTAATATTTCTCTCTCTCCCCCTTCCTCTCTCTCTCAAATCAATTTAAATATGTATCTCCTCAGGTGAAGATTAAAAAAAAAAAAAAAAGGAGCAACACTAGACCCCTTAAAACCCTGCTTGAGCCCACTTCCTGTCACCATGTCCTCCTGCCCAAGAGTAACCACCATCTTAACAGTGGCCTAACACTTATGCCTGTTTTTGTTCTTTAAATATGTGGAATCGCAGTGTTTACTCTTTTTTCCACTCAGCATTAGGTTTCTGAGATTCATCCAGGCTGCCATGTCATTGTGGACCATTCTCTCACTGCTGTATAGTATTCTACTCTGTGAATAAACCTCCACCAATGCACTCATTCTCCTGCTGTGGGCATCCGAGTGTTTCCCTATTTGGGGCCTGTATGAACAGGACTGCCATCAGCATTCCTGTCTGCATCTTTGATGGACATAAACACTCAGTTCTCCCCTATATGCTGAGTGGGGGAACCCCAGCATCTTTTTGTATGTTTAGCCTTCGCCAGTTGTGCCAAACAGCTGGAGTTAGGGAGCTGCAGGTCAGAGCCTCAGTGGCTCTACTATTTTCACTCCGGCCTGCAGGATAAGCATTCCAGTTGTTCCACATTCTTCTTCTTTTTTTTTAATATATAGAGAGGAAGGGAGAGGGATAGAGAGTTAGAAACATCAATCAGCTGCC